CTCCTCTGATACTGCCTAGCCTGCTGTGTTCCTCCAGCTCCACACTGATTTAATCGTGTTGTTATTATTATTACCTTTCTTCATTTTCTGTCTGGCTGTGTCTCCTGCATGACTTAGAGGTTGATACCAGGGTCATAGCTGTGGAAGGGCCACCTGAAGATGATCACAACTCATTCTTACCATTCCATCTATTGGTTCAGTGATATGCACCCCATAGGATTTAGATTGCATCTTCTAAATGAATCTGAAAGGTTTTTTTTGTTTGTTCATGGGATGCAGATATTGCCTGCAAGGCCAGCATTTGGGTAGTTCCTGGTGAACCACCTTAGTGAACGTCTGTAGCCCACATGTACAGCCAAGGTGCTCTTAGGGAGAGAGTTTCATGGAGTACTTTAGACTCACTCTGCTAAATTTTGTTTGGACATTGCAAGGATCCTTTCTCCAGTGTATATTATCTCCTCCCCATTTATTCTGCACACACTTCCAAATGAGAGGCTAAACCACCCCTCATTCTCACAGCATTGTCAATGCCACTCTTGAACCATCATCCAAGAGGTGCATAAGCTGAAGCACAGATTAATTCATAGGAAGAGGACTCCTCCTTGTGGGAATCTGCCTCACGTCTGCTCACTCCCTCCCCTACACCAGCTGCAGTAATTGCAGATAAGCTGGCATTTTATCACTGTAATGTGGTACATCACAGCAAACAACTGCCACCTTTTTCCAGCATCCCGTTCATGACCTTCTTCTGTAGCTGCCATTTTGGTGACACTGACCATTGTGCTCTTTTGTAATTGTGTAAAATACAATTGTAACGTTCCACATTGCTGTTGAACCCTAGAATTTTTCCATGTTCAACCTTGTTTGACGTTACCTGTGAATTAACTATCCGAATTGTTGTGCGTGTCCCCACATCAGATTCAAATCCTATGGTAGGTGCCCCATTGAACCTCAGAACGGCGTCATGGGCATCTGATAATAAGAGAAAGTGACAAGTAGATTCCAAATGTTTATTTCTGATTAGACGTTTGATCACTGAATAATCATGTGCAAATCCACAGGAAGGATATATCGGGAATGAAGTTGTGTGCAGTTCAATAAATGATTCAATGCTATAGCTGATCTGATAACACATGTGCATTGAAGTATTAAAGAAACTACATGTTATAGCATTATGAGTGCAATTATTTGCCAAATCTCGACAAGCAATAATCCAGTGTGTACACACCTTCAAAACAAAGTGTATCTTTAGAATATATTGATTCTGTAACTAAGAGATTAAATGTATTGTCAGAGGTTTAGATCATAATGCAGTCTGAAGATCATTTGGGGCAGACTCCCATCTTCCTGTGAATATTGGCAGGCTGGCCTTCTGTGTGTTTTGGGGCATCATTCATGCCCTACATAGATTGTTGGAGCTGGAAGTCAATAATGATCCAATCTATTCTCTTGCTTTCCAAGAACAGAATGCACTGGGAAGTTCTTAAAAAGGGGTGTCCTAGCCTCCACAGTGCAAGTGAAAGCATGATTTGGCAGCTTCCAATGGTGGACTAACTGAAAGCACAGAAGCAGAAGCATGTAAGGAACTGTTAGTGCATTTCTCCATCCCATGTAAAGGGTGTTGCAACATTCCTGAACTATATTTCGGGAGCCCACTAACACTGAGTTAGATGGTTAAGGACTTAATGATGTTTATCCTTAATTTCTCAGAATTCACTGCCATTTTTTTTTGCTTCTTAGACAATAAGGGAAAGTCAAATCTTCATTATTCATTTTGAGAAAAAGCAAAAGATATGGAGAGCCAAGAAATGACAACAACTTCCACTTAGCGCCATTAAGATGGGAAAGTGCCCAATCGTTGTACAGGAGGACAATCTAAAATGCACGCCAAGCCACAGATTAGAAAGGGTGGCCTAAAGGAGAAGTGAAGGCAGACAGCATGAGAGATTTCTGTGAGAAGTAGGTAGTAAATAAGAGGCTAAAACTGACAGCATGAGAATAAGAGTGAGAGAACAAGAAAATAAGAGGAAGAAAGGAGGAGAGATGAAAGAGAAAATATGAGAATGGAAAGGATAAATGAGAGAAAATGAGACAGACTGAGAGACAGGGACAAGAAAATAAAGATGCCTGGAATCTGCAATGGAAATAAGGTGATGAAAAAATCTGGCAAATGCCGTGCTAAACTTTAAAGAAAACTATCACTGTGCTATCTAAAGTGTAGTGGGAAGATATAAGAAGTAAATCAATACGTTCATTCAAATTAAAAGAATATCCAGGAAAAGGTTTACAAACATCAGGATCTCCCACCAGCTTTGTGTTGCAATTCTGGTGTCTACATTATCGGGAGCACCCATGATAACAGAACTGTAAAAATCTGAGAGTGTTCAGAATGTGCAAGAATGTAGAAGAGACAAATATAGTTATCTGGTAAATGTCAAAGTATGCATGTTCTGTACATCTCTTTTTCTGTTGCCTTACAACAAACGTTCCCTGCAAAATATCTCTGTCATTCATCTGTCATTCAAAATATATCATTCAATTTAATCCTTGACCACTGTCACCTTGAATAACCTATTTCCATATATTCAATAGGCTACATTGTTACATCTAAATTGAGTCAATAGGATTACATCCAAAAAAGTGGTCTGGTTGCATTCAGATTTAGTTCATTCCTTTGAAAGGCCTAGAATTGGGCAGGTAATTTGGTCTGATATTCTATCATGATTAGTGGCCAACTCAGTGCATTTTTCTTGAAATCTACACATTCATATCATCTTGTACTCAGGAATCTGTTGATGGTGATAACCATCCCACTATGTAGAATACTCATCTGTGATTTAAAAATATTTCACGCAAAAGCTAAGTAAGTTTAATGTTTACTTCTTACCTTGCATGCTGGATAATATTGGACACATATGAGAACTGATAACCAGAAAACACTCTTGTATCTATTTCAATACTATTCCTGCAGTTCCCAAACATACCAAGATGTCCAAATCATTTCTCTGCCATCTATAAATAAGTAATTCAGAATGATACAAGTTTCAGGGCCGAAAAAATTAAGTTTGTCCAAACCTGCATGAGTCAAAAGACTGATGTACTCAATACAGTAAGGTATACTTAATATTACATATCCATATCAAATATCCACTATTAAAACAATCTTTCATAAAAACATGAGAAAATTTTCCTTTAATATGATGTATGGCTAAATTTTGATTTACTCCATACATTTAATGCTTATTCTTCCTGATACTTCTTGCGTGCTTTGACTCCCAGAAATCCTAGGCTACAGATTTGGATAAGATTTTATACCTGTGAGTTTAAATTGATTCTGAGCCAACAATTTCAAAAATGATCAAGTCATCTGCTTTTGGTCAGCCAAGCAAGAACAGTGTGGGAAGACATTTCCAAACACTAAAAGCTTGTGCTGTGTTTAATGATCGTGTTTCCTAATCTCCAATTACACCTATTGAGAGATCAAAAGAATGAATCACTTGATAGGGAGCAGGGGCACTGAACACGTAGAATGCTAGTCTTTATATTTCAACCAGGTTGTCTGCAAGTGCTGCCACATTATTATTCTTAGTACCTGAATTTCTAACTCTGAAAGGAACCCTTTTTCTGGAGAGAGTTTACTTATCTATGCTACAAAACTGAGGTCAAATTTCAGCTTGCCTCACAGCATAAAATTGTCATTACAGATCAACCACTGGTTAAAAACACGATTTTTATTCTCATTGAAATCAGGGTGGCAAATTAAAAATCCATTACAATGATTCAAAATGTAAATTTCTTGATTTTAACAAAAATTAGTAGACAGATGGACTAACACCCTGATCAATTCTAGGCTTTCAAGCAGGAGTGATTTTGAGCAGTAAGGTCTTTGAGGGGAAAGTTTAGAGAGAAACAATTAATGGGCATGTGTCATTCAGCCGTGCCCATTCATACTGACCCAGGTAGTGTTTCTGCTCATGATGCAGCCGGCATTTTGTGTGCGGTTGAGTTGCTCATTGCTTGAGTAGAAGACACAAAGTTTAGAGAGCCTAACAGAAGTTGCAGCTAGCTTGTGTCACTGAACGTCAGCCTACACTTCTCGAAGAGATGGTGCTCTTTGACCAGAAAGAGTTGGAATTCATTGCACCTAGTGTCCACGATCTAGAAATTAAACTGAACAATGACACAGCATGGCAGATGCTGGACGCCAAGTCTCTCAACAGCAACAGATGCCTCTGTGCAGGAGATGGAAAGGAAGAGAACATTCCTCTATCTATAAAGGACCAGAAGCCTCTCAAGTTAAACTCAGAAATGGCATTTACCATCATAAACCAACAGCGTTAATTGCAATCCCACCAGTGGTTTAATGGCCTCTTGTAGTCAAGGTTAGTTAAACTTCTACGTTGAATGTCACTTTCTGCCAATAACACCTTATATTTTGTGCCATGCACTAAACCCCCAGGATTCACTCATCAGGTGTCTCTATTCATCATGTCTTGTTTGTCAGCCTGCTCTCCCTGACAGACTTGGCATTGTTGCAAGCCTCACTTTTGCTCACATTAGCAGCTTTTCATTCGCAACAACCAGAACCTCTAAACAAACTGCAGGACAAAGAACCACATAGCTGATGCTGGAAGCAGCTCATCAGTGGGGGCATGCCAGCCTGGAGATCCTCTTCCCAATGAGGAAACCATGCTCAACAACAGTAGGAACCATTACTGAGGTTATAACTAGCAGCAAGACTGAAAGAATTGAATGTGATGGTGGTGCATTGCTATCTCCTTCTCACATCCCATTTCCCCCTTATCTCAGATTCCCTCTCTGCAGATGGTGGAAGCATGTACCTTTAGTGTTTCTGCACTTACATCACTGAAACACTTCTCTTTAGAATAGCCACTTATTAAAGCAGTAACACAACAGCAAGAAAGGCAAGAGCAAGAAGAGACTAATGATGAAACCTCATCACTCAATCTTGTATTTGCAGCCATACACTGAAATACAGGGTAGCACAGAGACTGACTGGACTAGATTTTCACCATTATGCAGGAAGCTCAACACAAGAAAGTTCCTAATTTAGCAGATCCATCTCCATACAAATGTCCCCTCCCTGTGTATTTTGAGCACTGGTTAAAAGACTGCCATCTGTGGACTTCAGTGAAGCAGATTCAATGGAACACACTTCTTCAACTGGAGATGTACCATTCCTTGGTGGGGCTAAGGTAAGAAAATGGTTCCCTGAAAACCTTGGGTGGATCTCCTTGCCATACAGAAGGTCAAGGGATATGATACATCTAGCATCCAGGAGCAGGAGCCACTGCTCTGATGAGAACACTTGAAGTCAAAAGCAACAGGATCAAAGATAGAAGACAGAGGGTGGTGGTGGAGGGTTGCTTTTCAGACCAGAGGCCTGTGACCAGCGGTGTGCCACAAGGATCAGTACTGGGTCCACTGCTTTTTGTCATTTATGTAAATGATTTGGATGTGAACATAGGAGGTATGGTTAGTAAGTTTGCAGATGACACCAAATTTGGAAGTGTAGTGGACAGTGAAGAAGGTTACCTCAGAGTACAACAGGACCTTGATCAGTTGGGCCAATGGGTCAAGGAGCACCAGATGGAGTTTAATTTAGATAAATGAGGTACTGCATTTCGGAAAGGCAAATCAGGGCAAGACTTATACACTTAATGGTAAGGTCCTGGGGAGTGTTGCTGAACAAAAAGAGTTTAGAATGCAGGTTCATAGTTCCTTGAAAGTGGAGTCCCAGGTAGACAGGATAGTGAAAAAGGTACAAAAACAGAACAGAAGTTGCTGGAAAAGCTCAATCGGTCTGGCAGCACCTGTGAAGAGAAATCAGAGTTAATGTTTCGGGTCTGGTGACCCTTCCTTTTGAAAATGTAATATGGAAGCATTTTGAGTACAGCATTTAAATCAATGACAGTTCCAAGGATCTAAAATCTGTCTAGCTTTCAATTTCA